AAAGAAGAAAAATGTGTCTGGCTTTCTGTATAAATACGTGCATACGTTAAGTGTTGAGAATTTCAGCCTCTGTACCTGACTTGAGATAACATGTTCTCTGCACTAATAAAGGCATGGTCAACCAAGGCAGCAGGCAGTGGAAAGAGAGGGTGAGGAGCATATGTGTCCTCCTGGGGCTGGGCATTCCCTTACAGCAGCTCACTACAAAGCACAAGGCTGCCTGCCCTGGGGACATCCTGCATAGGATGCAGTGAGACCTCCAGGGGTGAGGAAGAAGCCAGAACAGAGATCCAGGGAACTCTACCCAGGGAAAGCCCACTGCCCGAGAGGTCTAAGATCCCAGAGTGCAGGTAGGTGTGGAGTAAGGGCTGAGGTCCCCCTCTCTTTTAGCGTTGCAGGGAGCAGTGATGATAATGCACAGACTCCAACTTAGCTCTGTCTTTCTGAACCTGCTGAAAACTGCATGGGCCACATCAGAAACATCCTACCCAGTGCTCCAGGTGCCCTGCCGTGTGCTGGAATAAACAGGACAGTGGCTACTGAGGTCTCTGCATAGGTTTCCCCCATTCCGGTGCTATATACTCAGTAGCAGATGTCAGGAATATTTTTTCTTTCCTGACGTTGTATCCTCTCAGGCTGGACACCTGTGACCCCACAGTCAGGCAGTGATGGCTGGGAGAATGCAAAAGACAGAGAGGGTGGGAGCAGGGATAGCTCCTGCAGGCCACGGAGCCAAGCCTGCGGGTACCACCCATCCATGTGACCTCCGCACAGACTACAAAGCAGCCTCAGGGTTGGTTTCTAGTGCAAAGGCCTCTGATAGTGCCTAGCGGCACATTCCTGCTGAAAGCCTGGGCCAAGAAGAACCTGCCCGGGCAGCCTGGCCCCGCCTCTGTCCTCAGCACCCTGGGCTCCACGAGCTTGGACGCTGAGTCACCTCTGCAGAGCAAATTCCACTGTAGCTGGGGCGCCAAACACCTGCCCCTGAGCCTGCTGGCTCAGGTGAGGCACCAGGTGTGTGCATGCTTAGTGGGGGCAGGGGCGTGTCAGGTGTGTGCGTGGTGCACACGACATGTGGAGAAGGTGAGCACAGGACAGGTCACGGCCTCGAGAGGATATTGCCTCCAGCTCACCCAAGGCCAGACTGCAGACTGCCCCGTGCCCCAGTCCCACTCACCCACCCACGACTCCTGCCAACTGCAGGTTGGCCCACATCCGTCATGAATGTCCACTCCTACCATGTAGCAGGGAAGATTTGGTATGTCCTTGCCCACTTGAGGACAGAGGCCCAGAAAGTGCGAGGAGCACCCCCAGGCCGTACAGCTGGAAACCTGATCGCCAGATGCACATCACAATGTGCTCCGAAATGCACCCTGTCTACACACGCTTGAAACACAGCAGATTGCAGAGCCTGGGTTTCCCTGTGCAGACAGATTTCAGAAGTGGGCAGGTGGGGCCCCTGAGGACACTGCTCCAAAGGCACAGCCTCTGCCTGAAGATCTTCAGATGGGGAAGATGAGGAGATGGAGAGCCAGACAAAAATGGAGGTGGCAAAGGAGGCTGTGAGAGCGGCGTCTTCCCTCCAGTCCACCTGGACCTCAGGCCTCCATCTCAAAGCAGGCAGGAAGTGACATAGTGAGGGACAGGAAAGGGTACGCAACTGCTCCTTGATGGTTAGCAAAGCACATGTGCCAACCCTCAAAGTGACCTTCAGCCCAGGAGACTGTAGAAGGACTCAGCTCTCCAGGAAGAACCCCCTGACAGGGCTGTGGTCACTTGATGGTATCCGGGAGGAGTGCAGCCCCAATCCAGCCTCCAGGGCGAGGCCAGCCCTTTAGGCTCCAGTGACAATTTCAGACTGGAACTGAGTAGTATTTTCAAGTGACTTGTCTCTAGACCACAAAAAAGAAACTATTTTAGCTCAGACCAAGACCTGGCATAGTCTTAAAAGTGGCCCAGGGGGGTCTGAGCTGGACCCTGCAGGCCAAGAAGCAGAAGGGAAACCTCAGCTCCAGGAAGAACCCTGGTCTTAGTGGAGGTTCTGGGGTGGCTGGACAAAGATAACCTCTCTACTGACCGCCCTCGGGGCTGCCCTGTGGATCTTCTGCCTCTGCTGCGGTGGCCTCTCCAGTACCAACACCCTCTCCCATTGACAATAAGATAGGAATTTCTAGAGTTGGTAGTGTCCTGCTCTGCACCATCCAGAGCTCCCAGGGAGACAAACAGGGTCACGGGCAGCAATGTATCTCTCGGGAACAGAGCTGTGGGCTCTACAGAAGCAGGCCCTGGCCACAGAAACCTGGGGAAGGTGGGCAAGAGTGTTCAGAGTTGTATGTGGTATCTGAAAGTAGACATCTCTACAACTCCTCCCAGTGGCCTCTGGAGCCCCCACCTGCAACCAGGAGGCTCTGTGGTTCCCTCCCCTCTGTTACCTTCTGGTCTGTTCTCAGACTTGGCAAGGAAGCCCCACTGAAGATACAGTTCTCCTGACAAGATCATCAGGTAGGATGGCTCACAGCACTCTCATGCCTTGCTTCCCTCCTTAACATCAGGACAGCGCTCATGCACTGACTTCTAATCCCTACTAAGACTAGGAAGTTGGCTCCACCCTATTCCCCTCCAGGTCCAGGTTCCGCTCCTCCCTGCCACTGGCCGGGGAGATGGCAAGACTTCTCCATCAGACTCCAAACTCCAGAGCCTCAGACGCTAATTTTCAGCACTTGCCAGCCCATTTTCATGCTCGTTTTGTGATGTAGCAATGGCATAGTAGCCCGAGTAGCTCTGTAAATATTTATACAAGCCCCTGGGGGCCCCTAGAATTGTCCTCTGCATGGCTGGCTGGCAGGGAGAGCAGTAGCCTATGCCCAGCTCTGTGTGAAGGCATCAGCATGTAGCTCTCCCTGTGCAGGGTTAGAAGCCCAGCAGAGGCCATAGCTGCTGACCAGGGCTTGGGCTCTGCATTTGAAAATGTGTTGTAGTGTTGCTGGGTTTTTCATCTCTAAACAACAATAGCAGAAGCCAGGAACACTTCTTTCAAGGGTCCTCATCGAGCATGTGCGGCTCTGTCATCCTCAGGATCTTCTGGAATTAGAAATCCATCTGGAGCACCAGGCTCTGAAAAGCAGGATGGGGTCTCTTGGGGCAGAGTCCTCATTCCTCAATGTTTCTGCTGTGGCTATCAGCAGGTCACATCTCATACCAGCTACGTGAAGCGGAACCCACGCTGACTGTGTGGCGGCCAGCTCTTCCACGTCACTGCAGCTGTCATTTCTCAGGCCCACAGCTGCCCTCCCAGAACTTCATCCTGAGATCAGGACAGGAAAACCGGATCTTCAGGCTCTCTGTGGCCCACAGGAACTTTATGGGGCATATGGCTCTGTAAAGTGCACCAGGAGCACATCCATGAGGAGGTTCCAAGACAGACACAGCTCATGCCTGGCTGCTCTAGGGAACAGGAGCCAGAGAGACCTGGGCCTCATGGATCCTGAGAGGTGATCATGACCCCATTCCACCACCCAGGCCCAGATCCTGTTTGCACAATGGCAATGGCTCTCAGCACCCACGGCCTAGTGGGGACAGACATCTGGAAAGTCAGAAGAGCTGCACAGTGTGACACTGCTCCTCCCCCTCCAGTGGGTGCCACATCCAGAATTAGGAAGGACTCCCATGGGAGTCAGGGCACAGCCCTCAAGTCAGCATCAAAGGGTGGGGGAACTATCAAAGGGTGCCACACGCTTTCACCCACAATACCGACCAGGAACCAAGTGTAACTGGGGCAGGAGGGCCTGCATGTCGTAGCAGGGAACTGTGGCCTGAGATCATGTCCCCTCCCGGGCTCTGTGCCTTCCAGAGGTGAACCCAGTGGAGGGTGTAAGCTGGATTGAGGAGGCCTGGCAAGTGCTCAGGCTGCCCTGGGCCCCTGCCATGGGTTATTTTTTCCTCTCCTGTCATTCCCAATTTAGAACGAGTACCCAGGATAAAGCAGAGAAGAAAGGCCGCTCCGCCAGGGACCTCCCCCTTCAGGAATGCTCATGGGCAGGCTGCAGGCGGGGGCTTGTCGCCAGGCACCCAGGGCCTGCGAGCTGAGCCATCCCACCCAGTCCGGGAGCTCCTCCTGCCTTGCCCTTGAATAAGGCAGAGCTGTGCAGGCTGGGCTCATAAAGGAACAGGTGTCCTCAGTCCTACAGGACTCAAGCAAAATTCAGAAGCCAGTGAGTGCCTGGGTGTCCCTGCTGCTCCTGGCCACTACCAGGCCTCCTACTGTCAGCTGCACGGCTCTGCACTGCCAGGGAACCCGGCCAAATAGTCAACCTGTTACCCGAATTTCACACGCGGGGGCCCTACCCACTCTGCAGACTGCCAGGAGCTGGGAGATTCTGTCCTGTGAGAACCACTGAGTCAGCTGCTCAGGGGACCTCAGGTCACCCAGCCACACCCATGGATTCCCTGTGCAGGCTCAGCTCACACCAGGCATCGGCAACCCTGACTCCATCTGGCTTTTCTCCAAAGCTGTGCTCGTGTTCATCAGGCTTCGCTCTGCGTGCAGCGCTCAGGTATCAACACAGGACCTCTATTCCCTGGACTCTGAACCTACTCCCAGGAGCATGGCCCTGCAGCACCTTGATGCTTCCTTCAAGATGACCCCGAAGTCACCCTCTCACCTCTTTGTACCTCCAGCCCCCGAGGCCAGCCCCTCACAGCCTGGAATCCCAAATTACCCTTAGCCCTGTGCAGTCTGGCCGGCCCTTATGCCACACTGGGAGCGGGACCTCAATTTCCAATTTGAGAGACAAGATACGAAGACCATAAAGCATACAGGGCCAAGGGTGGCCTAACTTCATTGTGTCTCAGTCCAGTCGGCAGAGACTCAGTCTCATCAGTAGCTCTGGCTGAGGTCACACAGCCGGGCCTCTCCCTTCTGGATTCTTCTCAAAGACACTGCTTCTCTTGGGATGGATTGCAACATTCCATTGACAAATGGAAGCAAGTCTTCAGGAATGAACAATTCACTTAAATTTATCTGCTGTAATAGTACTGTTATTCAGTTCATTTACAGATGATCTCTAATAAGTCGTGGTTTTCCCCCTCAGCAGGTATTGTACTCAGTTTTGTTTGCTTTCAAAGTAAATGTAAGAAAATCACCCAACTCATAAACAAATTTTAAGCAATACTGCATTTAACTTGGGGACTGAATATATATATATTAAAATAAGGAATTGTTTTCACATAACATGCCTCCACATTACTTTAGGGATACCTAATTGGAAGCCCACTGTCTAAACCTGACCTGCTTCTGCGACCATTGTGTTGTGTTTTGGGTGCCAGGGGACTCTCAGGTCATCTGAAGGTAGCTCATGGAGAGGCAGGCATTGGCACCCGAGCTCCATGCTGACCCCATGCAAAGAGACACTCGTGTTTCGTGCTGTGGACTGTGAGGAAGGAGAGGTACGTGACCTGCCATGCAGGAATTTTGCAAACTGGGTGTAACTCAAAGGCACCCGAAGCTTCTTTTGCAGAGCCACTGTGATTATGTTCATTCGTCAGCTTCCTTCAAGCTTCCCGACAGCCTCCTCCAGGTCACGCTGAATAATCTGTAACAGCAAAGAAATGCCGAAATAACCTCCAGGTGTGCTAATTTGGCAGGCACTTGCAGATGCTCAAAATAACCCTACATTAAAGGAAAACAATATTCTAATACAATACTTACTGGTGACTATTGGTAGGTAGTAAGGGAAGTGATGGTCTCTTTTCTGAGCATCCTGACCCTCCTTGAGACACACTGGGACATGTGGGCTTTCTCCTGAGTCCCTGGCAGCTGGCACACACTCCAGGGCGATGGCGCCTGTACTCCCTTGTTGGGAGAGTTCCGCATCGCTTGGGGTGAGGGTGCCTTCCTGGCCTTCTCCTCCCCTGGATCCCTCTCCTCACTCCACAGCCTCCCTCAGACCAGGCACGCAAGCTCCACCCTCCTCCTTCCCTGCCAGGAGTCCTGCCTGCCCCAAGTCTGCCTTCCCGGCAAGCCTGCCCTGTCATATCCGCCCCTGTTCCTGCTAGGGTCTGTTTCAGTTTTGCAATTTCACTCATGTTGTTCTCCAAGGCTTTCGATCTCCTAATTTTCCAGCAAAAGAGACATTATGAGAATTCTTGTTTATCTTAACTAAATATCTCAATTAAAACATTCCATTCCAGAAGCAAGACGCAGAAGTTGGCACCTTCATGGCTGCTGGCAAGAGCCACAGAAACAAGGAGCTGCTTCCTGCCACTCATCCCTGTGGGGGCGCTCATGTCCTCCATTCAGGACAAGGGCCAGCACCTCCCACTGGGTAGGATAGGACAGCCAGGGTGCTGCCCTGCTGCCCTGCGGGTGCCTTCCAGGGGACATGTAGGACAAGCCCCGTTTTTGTCCAAAACTGTGTACAGCTGGGGACCGTACTGGGGACCAGGCGTCTTTGCCACACCCTCCAGGCGCCTGGAGGACTGGGCTCAGCCCACAGGCCCACTGTGAGGGCAGAAGGGATGCATGTAGGAAAGGGGTCAGAGCCGAGCTGCTCCTCTGCAAGACCAATGAAGGGTGTGTCTGGGGCTTGCGCAGGTCCTGGTTCCACGATGAAGACCTCAGATGGGAAGAGTCATTGCACAGCGGTCTGGGGCCAGTAGTGCCTCTGCTCCCAAGAGAGCCTCCTGTCCATGCAGCCTTCTGCTCTGGCCTCTGTGTTTTCAGAGGCTTGGTGGGTGAGCGATGGGGCTGACATTTCCTCAGCTCCAGCTGGGCCTTGCAGAGATCAAGGTGCCCATTGCAGTAGCCCAGGATGTAGTGTGGACACTAAGAGGATGTGGAATGTGGGATGTGGGATGTGGGATGTGGTGCTGCTCAGGGCCCTGAAGAGGCAAAAGGAAAAATCAGCCCCAGCTATAGCTTCCCAAGTGATGGGGACACCCAGGGAAGTGCAGGCCAGAGAGGACACAGGCCATCCCAACAAGATGAATAGAGATACCAGATCAGGTAGGGATGCTGGTCACGTGAGGGTGTGACCCAGGGTTAGGGACCTCTGAGAAAAGGGAGGTCAAGGGGAAGAGACATAGGGCGAGTACCTTCACATATGCAGGAGGAAGAGAAGAAACCTTTCCGCCCTTTCCTGGGGATGTGGTCAGCAGTGTCCAGCACCCTGAGGACAAGAGGATGGGGCTGACATGAATGACAGCTGCCTCCAGGCTCTTCACTGCAGAGAGACAGCACGGCTGGGTCAGGGGCCACTAGCGTGTGTAGAGTTAGAAGCCAGGGTGCTGCACTGTGTGCAGGGTGGCAGAGACACTGGAGCACTGGATGGCCCAGCCCAAAGTCATCCTGTACCCAGACTACATACAGTAGCTCTCAGCCTGGCAGGGCTGGCTACTCCCTTCACCTCACACCAGGTGGCACCTTGCCTCAGTTACACTCTGCCATGCTGAAAATGTGCAAACAAATTAAAGTCATGTTTTAAAGGTATTTTTTTTTTTTTTTTAGTTAACAGATTTTTTTTTAAATTAACAGATTATTCCCTAGCAAATTTTCTCAAAGAGTTAAAACACGCTCACCTGAATCAGCTCGGGAGTTTCATGGAGGTATCATAGCTTCGTCCCAGCAGGGCAGGGTCTGAGGCTCCAGGCAGCTCCTGATGGGAGCAGGCACTGCCTAACGCACATGGTGGGAGTTTAGATTTGGGCTCTGATGAGTCACATCAGTCCTTGAGCAACGTTTACTTCCTGTTGTGGCCCTAGGAACTCAGGAGTGTGACTTTCAGATTCTAAGTTGGGCAAACGATTTAGAATTATGCCACCCCTGCCCTTTAGAAAAAGAAGACTGATTTTCGTCTTACGGAAAAGTCAGAACAATAATCCAGAGCAAGTCCTGACACCAGCACCCAGCTTCCCTGAGTTAGCATGCTGTGCAGACAGGAAGGGAACCAGAGAATGAGCTTTCACCCAAAGTGTTCCTCAAACGCCACACCCTGTCTAGACCTCAGCTTTTCCTCCAATACCAGTTTTCTATCCGACACCCTGCTGGGCACCCTGCATGTGTTTGTCCGAGGCCTGGGCCTGGGGCTGCCCTCCTCCTGCAGATGACAGACCTCCCAGAGTGTCACATTCACTTGTCAAATGTCTGAGACCCTGACCGGACTGAGTTTGCATTTCAGCGGTGATGTCCCCAGCGCTCACCTCTTCATCACCCGCCAGGCTCCGGCCTGTGGTATAGAGCGATCAAGGCAGCCTTAACCGCTGAGTAAAGGTTAACTCCACCAGAGGTTCCTCCCCTCAGTCACAAAGAGATCCCTTTTGCAGAAACTAAATGTCCTCTTGCTAACTACCCATCACAATATAGCCACACTCAGAATTTGAAACCACAGTGAAATTTCTTCCCAGATGAAGGATGTCCCTCCATCTGCACCCCTGGGAGTTGCTTAGTGAAGCTGGAAAGGCAGAGCCTGGTGGCCTCGGTCCTGCCACGCACCTCTCATTCTGGGGTCGGTGTGACTGTCTATGTGTTCAGTGTCGCATCCATCTGTATTACTGAAAGCCTTTTGGAAGGAGGCATCCGAGCAAGGCCCCAGGTGTGCGGAGACAGAGCCATGCGGGTTCTGCCTTTCCTGTGAAGGGCAGGGGTGATTTCTGCAGGGCTCACAGTGGCAATGCTCAGGTCTGTCCTTTCGGCATGAAGGCAGCCGAGGCTGGGCTGTGGATGGGCAGGGTGTGGCGCTCATGGTCGCGTCTGACATGCGGGATGAGCAGCATCCCCGTGCCCCATACCCAGGGGAAAGCCACATCTCCAAACAGCACAAGAAACCCTGTGGCCATGCAATGGAAAATGTGACCCATGAATTGTTGGCTCTGTAAGACTGCAGGCCTGCAGCCAAGCACACTGTGGCTCAAATTCACATGTTTAGTATGCAGGACTGGGATTCAGTCCCACTGTCTCCTACCCAGACCCTAAGATCATGCAGGTGTGTGTGTGTGTGAGTGTGTGTGTGAGAGAGAGATAGACAGAGACAGAGACAGAGACAGAGACAGAGAGACCCCAAGGCCAGCCAGGACTCTGGGTCACCATGATGAGTAGGCTCCCCCACCTCTGGAGCTCATTTTCCAGGGCAAGCTGTTGCCCTCAGGCTGCATTATTTTGATTTTTTTTTAATCCAGCCAAAATATTGAGATGAAAAAAAGTGCCAGTCCCATCACCTGTACGCCTTGGACTCTGCTTGCTACAATATCTTGGTGATTTCTAGCAGGGAAGAAAGCTCACTGGAAGAGCCTGTCTACTCACCAGAGCTGAGCAGCACCTGATGGCAGAGGATGGAGGGAGGCCTGTTCCACCTGGATGCCCATGACGAGTCCTCACCATGCGGGCTGGGGCACCTAACCGAGGGCCATCTTCCTCCACAGCAACCAAACCCGCCAGCTCTCTGAAAACACATCCCATGGGCAAGGGAAATGTCAGCTGATTCCTGGACACAGGTGCCCAGGGAGGCTTGTTGAAGCAGACTGTTACTCTCCTTCCCTAAGTGACCTGTGCAGCAAAAGCAACCAGAGAGGACCCCTGTGAGGCAGAAGTCCTGGGATCCCTACATGGGACTGTGACACTTCACTCTTGGTTTCTGACTGCCTCATGGGCTCTGCCCATGAACCCGAGAAACAGTTCCCATTTCCTGTTCCCATCAGAGAGATGGACGTGGCTTCCATCCAGGCCCAGGGTCCTGGAGCCTCAGCACATCTCGGTGACACGTGTGTGGTCCCAGTCCTTCCAGGACCCATTGTGTCACCTGCCTGGGGATAGTCTTAGCCTGTTCCATCTACACTGTGATGTCTGATCAGATTCTGAGCTCATAAGGGCTCACTGGGCTCACCCATGGCATGGTGTCCACTAACAGATGCTCAGGAGTCAGAGGTTCCATGTTGCACTTCCTTGGAATCCAAACAGAGGAGTGCCTGCTGGGATTTCCCAGAAGAGTATTACTTCTGGTCCCCATTGAGGAAGTTGAAATGGGTGGCTTCCCTGGTTTGGTGCCGAGCAGCCCCGCTGGGAGGCAGCAGCTCTTCTGCACATCTGGACCGTTTTAGTACTGGAGGGAGGCGGGAGCTGGGCCTGTTTGTGTACACAGATGGGTTCATCTGAACTCTTCTCTCTGGCGTTGCAGTCAGCCCAGGGCCAGCAAGTCTTCCTGGAAGAGGTGGAATTCTGTGTTTTCCCTCTTGGCTATTTCCTCCTGCCTTGCTTAATTGAGGCAAGGCTTCCCTCTTATTACAATTGTTTTCCAAACTTGCCCGCTCACCAAGCCAGCTGGGCTGTGGTTGGGGAGGTGCCTGTCTCCAGCCTGGCAGGCAGAGCACAGAGGTAGGGAAGGAGCCCTTTCTGGGATGCAGCTGTAGCTGCCACGCCAGCTGCGTAGACAGTGCCCATCAGCCTCTCTGCTGCTGCCCATCACCACACACCACACACCCATGCTTTGAGATGCCCTGGGGTACACCATCAGCCCCCTCAACCTCTTTCCTCAGGGACTCAGTCACTGAGCTGGGATGGATGCCAGTGGCTCCCAAGGTCACACACGAGTCTTTGGCCCAGCCTGAGCATCCTGAGGACCCGAAGACCATATGCCCCCCACAGGATAAAAAGTGGGGGCAACAGGCACTGCAGTGGCTCTGAAATAGGGGTGCCTCTGACAGAGGAAATCCAGGGCTTCCTGCAGTGGGGGAGGGCACTCTAGGAGGGGAATGTCCCTGATGTCCCATGAAAGTTGGATCCAGAGTCCAACACGATGACATCCTCAAACACAACCTCATAAATAAATGACCAAATAAGTTAATGAGGCAGAGAGACAGAACCTCTTGCACAAGAATCTGCCTTGAGGATAAGTGTGGGCTGCAAGTTGTCCCCAAAGAGGACAGAGCAGAAGGGACAGACTCATGCTTCAGAAGACTCCCAGTGCACCAGGCCCGCAGATCGAGGGAGCACGGTGGCGCAGTGACAGTGAGCCTCCTGCGTGACTGAGTGTGATCCAGTCTCCACCCCATCCCTCCTTCTCTAACTCCCCATCCAGTCTTCATTCTTGGTGATGTTATTTGCCTTCATTCATGTGATGGCGTAGCATGTTCACAGTCACTGAGGGTGTTAGGTTCCTCTACATGGCCGATCTTTAGTCTACTGATTTCCCTTCCCTCCCCAGCCCTTGTGCCTTTCCTACTGCCAGAGACTCATTCCCTTGACCTCTTCTAGCCATTCTTTATTGTTCTTTGTTTGTTCTTTGCCTCACTCAAACGAGAGATGCCATACGATATAGTTATCTTCTGCGTCTGGTTTATTTCACCCAACATCGTATTTATCAGATACATCCATTTCCCTAAAAATGTCTCAGATTTGTATTCTTCATAACCAAGTAGCATTCTGTTATGTCAGATGCTACGTGTTCTTTCCCCAGTCATCTGTTGACAGGTACACAGGCTGCTTCCAGGATTTAGTTGTTATGAATTGTGCTGCTATTGGTGAGCTCACATAGCTTAGAAGAGGATTCCTTAAGCTCTTGGGGGGAAGATACCTACCAGGAAGGATAGCTGGGGCGTACAGAATTTCTAATTCTTTGAGAAACATCCATACTGGTCTCCATAACTATTGTACTAGTTTACGTTCCAACCGTTCCATCCTCACTCTGGCCTCTCTAGCGTTTGTTACTGTCTGATTTCTTGATAAATAGAATTTTAGTGTTGTTTTAATTACACTTCTCTAATGGCTAGAGGTATTGAACTTTTTTTCATATATTTACTGACCATTTGCATGTCTTCATTTCTCTTGCCCATTGCTTGATTGGATCTTTAATTTTAGCTGTTCTGATTTTTTTGACTTCTATTTATATATTCTAGTTCTCTTTCTGTGGAATAGCTAGCAAAATTTTCCCTTAATTTTGTAGGTCGTCTTTTCACTCTACTGACTGATTCTTTTGCAGCACGGAAGTGTTTTAGTCTGATATAAACCCATTTGTCGATTCTTGCTGTTTTTCCCGTATTTATGTCTTCAAGTGTTTCACCTCTTTTATTTTCCAGTAGGTTGCATGTTTCTGTTTGAATGTTTAGATCTTTGACCCACTCGGATTTTGGTTTAGTATACAGTGAGAGATACGAGGCCATTTTCCGACCTTTGGGGCTTTCTCGGCTTCCGCCTGCATTGTGTGCCCTGAACACGTCTGCCTGTGGCCAGCCCACCTGGCCCTTTCTGGACACACAGCATGGGTGATTTCCATTTTAGTGCAGCTCCCCATGGCATGCAGGGCAGGCCCCAAAGAAGCAGGTCCCTCCTCTTACTTTCCTCCACCCTGCATGCACTGGTCACTGAATGCTTGCTGGTGTGCCCCAGCTGCTCAATAAATTGATTGTCCCCTTTGCAGCCATTTGATTCAGGTAGGAGTGAGAGAGTTCGAGACAAATCCTCTTAAAATCCTTGCCGCCAGCACCTGGTGTGCTCCTGAGGCAGCACCAAGTCACTCTTCTCAAGGACTGAGACAAGCCACTGGCAAACCCAGACTCAAGGCCAAATCCCAGAATGGGCACCAACGCACCTGTGAAGACAGTGCCCTGTGACCCTGACCCACCCAATCAGTGTCTTCAGCCAGGAGAAGGCAGGAGCAACCGAGACTGATTCCAGCAGCCAGCAAGGACACAGAGTTGGGCACTGCATCTGCCACACCTGCATGGATCATGGCGGGGTTTCCCGGCAAAAGTGCCCCCTGCACTGGGGACCTTTGGATCTGAGGCCACATTGTGGGCTGCAGTTGGCTGGGGCTGCAGGTCTCTGCCTGGTCTCAGGGTACCTGCTCTCAATTCCACTAGAG